GGCCCAGCTCTGCCGCCCTCTGGTCTAGGAAGCTGCCCTTGGCCCTCTCTTTCTCATCTCAGTTGCTTCAAAGGCAGCATAGCATGGTGGCTAAAAGCAGCAGGTTCAAATCCCGGTCCTGCTACTGGACTCGTATCCTTGGGCTAGTTACTCCACTTCTCTGTACCTTGGTGTTTCCCTCATCGGTCACAACAGGGGTCATGAAATTATCTACTTCACAACTTGCTGTGAAGCCCATGTGATAAAAATGAGTAAATTCATGTGCCTGCTTAGAACAGGACCTGGTAGACAGAAGGTGCTGTTTAGGTGTCAGAGCTCATCATCACAGCAGCTGGCACAGGTGTCTGTCATGGAACTTCTCACCCTTTCTCTGCCATTTGTTTCCCCATGAGGTCGCATGCTCTGAGGGCAGCGAGCACATTCTATCCTCTTCATGCTCAGTAAACAAATGAATTTGCTGTCAGATGGCAGGTGGGAGGGTCTGGGCAGGCGTCTCACGTGGCCCTGAGAGGGTGAGACCCAGCTTCTCAGTTCAGGTTGAGGTGGGGGGTCCTATGAGGGAATAAATAGTACATGGCCCAGAACTTGGGGTCCTTGAGGTTGGGGCTGGTGAATCTGGGACAAAAACAGGGCCCAGTCAGGAGGAGCCCACCCTTTGTTTGTTGCTGAAAGTCTTTGGAAAGCCTCGGAGTCACAATGTCCCTAGGTTGGGAGGAGGCCCAGGCCCAGGCCTTCCTTAGAGCCCAGACTCCTGGGGACTGTAGGCAGGTGGGGAGCGGTTCTCTGAGGTGGTTCCCAGCAAGGCTGATAGACCCCTCAGGTCAGCTAAGACCCCTCGTCAGACCAGCAGGGCCTGGCCTTTCTGGAATATTGAGGAACAGTAGTGGGGGAAGGGAGAGGGTCAACCCTGTCTGTGGCACCCTTCACCCACTCCCACCTTCAAAGAAAATTTATCTTTCACTCCCCTATCTCACCTCCTACCCCCTCATCCCAGCCTTCTCTAGACTTATGGAACAGTGAAGCCAGACCTGAAATGAATTTATTTAGGAGAAGGACTTCAATGCTCCATTCAACAAAGAGAGGCCCAGCCTCTGGCCAGGCTGGAGTGCGAGGGTGTGGGGATGGCGGTGAATCTGGAGGCAGATTTGGCTCAGTCTGAATGTGAGTTCTCTACCACCACCCTTCTGGGAACCAGGGTACTCCCGGGGAAGGGGCCTGGGGGCTGGTGTGTGTGTGGGGGCACTTGAGCCTGGAACATGCATGTGCCTGTGCTTCCTGGAGTAGCCAGAACCAGGGGAGGGAGGTGCAGAGGAGTGAGCTGTGTGGCTCCCTGTCTGCCACAGGCCTGGAGCAGGGATGGGGGCCCCAGGGAGAGCACCTGTCTCCTCTAGTCCAATCTGGGGTGTGGTGTTCTGTGGCTGGAGCAGAGGGGGCAGGCTCGGGTGACACTGTTTGAGGAACATCTCCAGCAAGGCTGATCCCACTGAGCACTGGGACTGGAGTCTGCTCCTGGGGTGCACAGGAGCCCCTAGAAGAGGCTCTATGAGCTGGGGGACTGAAGGAGGGCAGAACGTGGTGGTGATCATGTCTTCATATCCAGCCAGTCTGTCCCACATCCTTCCCAGGGCTGTTTCCCAAGCTTCTGGGAGCCTGCCTGGCCCTGCCCAACTGGGTTGCCCCTGAGCCGGGCAGGCAGCAGCAGCCATTGTGCAAGGGGTGAGCTCACCTGCTGTGCCCGGTCTGGCCTGCACCGGCCTGCCCGCTGCAGTTAATCATTGTTCAAACGCCCTGGCAGGCGAGTGGGCTGTGGAGGAAGGCGTGACAGGCAGGGCCTCTTCTGCCAAGTGTCAGCAAATCTCCCCAAGCAGGCCTGGGGCCAGAGCTGTTCCCCAGGACCCCACAGTGAGCATCCTGCAGTGCCGCTGAGACCACCTCTCTCCATTCTTTAGTAGGAGCTCAGAAAATATTTTTGATCACATCAAAGAACATTCTTTTGTTGATTTCTTTTGTTTACTCTTAGACAGGGTGAACTCAGAGCGGTTCAGCGGCAGAGCTAGGAGGGCGGGCACCAACGCCCAGATGCCTTGGTTCAAACCACAGCTCTGCCACTTACCAGCTGTATGACCTTGGCCAAGCATCATAATCTCTCTGTACTCAGTTTACTGGGCTATAAAAAGGGATTGTCGTTGTTGATGATGCTTTCCTCAAAGGACTGTCGTGAGGATTAGAATATATATAAAGTGCTTACTATGCCAAGAACACAGAAACCCCAGTGCCTGGAACCAAGACTAAAACGCTATCACTGGGCTCAGCTAATCCCCGAGAGGAAGCTGAGTGGCCACCAGGCCCTGGGCTGGGCTGTTTGTGCATGTTGTGTAATCATCCTTCATGTGGTCCCTTGTGAGTTGGGTACAACTGTCCCCACTTCCCAGACGAGGACGCCCAGGCTCAGGGGAGTAGACAGACTGCCCAAGGTCACACGGTGTAAGTGACAAAGCCGGGATTCCAGCCCTAATGCCCGGTTGTCTCCACTACCCATCACTGCCCCGTTTGCAGATCAAAGATGCGAATCTGAACTTGTCAGGCAATTAAATTCTGCCCACATGCATTGACACCCTCTGAGCATGGGCCGGGCTTAGGGACGGGTCGAGGGGGTTCTGGGCTGAGTTCTGCTCTGAGAAAGACAAAGATCAACAATACCCAGCCCAGTCCATGTGCTCAGAGAACCCCACACAGATGAGGAGACAGGAAGAGCCATGCACAAGCCCTGCAAAACCCCAGCACCACTGTGGGCTGGGATCCAGGGGGCCCCAGGACCCCTAGACAGGCAGGGCCTGGGTAGTAGCTGGTGGGAAAAGGGCCTTGAAGCAGCATAGCGGCTTTGGGGGGTTTTTTGCAGTGTATGTTTATTTGTGATGGTTTGGGGAAGGGTAACCGTCAAAGTCGTGGGGGCCTAGAACCCCTTGTCCCTCCTACCCCAAGCCTCCCCACGGCGCAGCTGCTGGCTGTGATGCAGGCAAAGACAGCTGCAACGGATCGTGCAGGGCAGCTAAGTAACCCTGGCAGAGGAGCACACGCCCCCTGCAGGGGCTCTTCTGTCTATTGCAGAGACCCGCCTTGAGGGAGAGTCCTGGGAGTCAGGTAGCTTCCCCCCGGGCGGGTGGAAGCGTTTTTGGGGCCCCTTGGGAGCCAGCACGCCATGGCATTAGCAGCTAGGAAAAATCCATGTCAGACATGTAATCTGAGACCTTGGGAAAGAAAGGGCCATGAGGCCAACTAATGCAGCCCAGGGACCTCTGGGTGGGTGTGTGTGTGTGTGTGTGTGTGTGTGCACGTGTGCACGTGTGGGCGCAGGCGCATGTTGCATATGTGTTGAGAGCTGGCTAGGGCAGCAATGTTCCTCCTCAGAATGGTGAAGTGAATTGAGTTCATCTCATAACAGCTCTAGAAAGCTCTGTCTGGATCCTCCTGCCTCCCTTGGTGTGCTGGCATTCCTCTCCTGCGATGCCCATCCCTTCCCCACTCAAAGGCTCAGGGCGCCTGCCCTCTCCGCCTCCTGCACACAAATGAGCTCTCAGAATATGCTCTGATAAGCTCATTTCCCCTGAGTTGTTGACAACTAAAATAAGGCTTCCTGAGTGGCCCCCCCCGGCCAATCTCGTCATTCACAGACTGTCCCCACGCCCCTGAATACATGGCCACTGCCTGCAACCAGGAAGCCCACCTCTGGGCAGGAAGCGTGGCACTGAGCAGCCAGGCCCCCTGCTTTCTAGGACACTGAGGCAGCCTGTTCCTGCCTGGCTGCAGCTGGAGGCAGATGAAAGGAAGCTGAAAACCAATCTATCTTGGCCACCATGACGAATTCCAGCCCCAGAGGCCAGACTCAGGCCATGGAGCTCTCCTGCATGTTTACTGTTATGCCTTGGAGGCCCTGGGCACAAAGAGACCATTCCTGGCCTAGTTGAAGCCACAGATGTAGGTGTTGGGAGACACGTGTGAGACTGGGGCTGGGTGGGAAGAGGTGTGATACACGGTGTTGGTGCCAGGGAGGTACGTGGAAGATGTTAGAAAGATCCTGAAGGAAGTGGGAAGGTCTAATCTCCTCTCTAATCTATCCTCCACACACACCACCAGCATTATCCTCCTGATCTCAGCCAATGTGGCCGTTCAATGATTATCAGGATCTTAGATAAACACTGGTGTCCCCAAGGATTAGGGGCTATGAGTCGTCAGGTGACGCCCTTGTTACAAGGAGGTATGTTACAATGAAAGCAAATTTCAGACCAGATTCTGCCACAATGACATATTTTTAATATCAAGTAGGCAGAAAAACAGTCATTTGACCCCCTCCACTAAGCTTGGGGGTATCCTCTTTCTTTGTCCCTAGGTTTGCCAACCAGCACTTGTATGAAAGGTACAGTGCCCCAAAGATAAGCCTACTTTGGACCAGGAGACAGAGGTTTCTATTAGAGTTGGGGGGTGGTTAGGGCCCGGGGCGGGTGGGACGCAGAACCAAATGGGAATAGACCCAGAGCACTAGTCCATGGGTGGTAGGCATCCAGGTTTGCTGGAGTCTTCTGTCTTGTTCAAGCAAAGATATAGATGCCTGTACCGTCTTTCCAGCCAAACACATTTCTTGAACATGACTTACTTCACCAATGACAAATTATCCAGAACACATTTTATGCTAACTACTGAATTTTGGGGAGCAGATTTAGATAACTGTATTTGAAACCCTTGCTAGCCTCTCCTAGAGTGTGAATTCCTGTAAGTGTTAACTAATCACCTTTAGAGCATAAATTACTGTGAACTCACACACAGACACACCATCGCTCCTGTTCATACAGCGGTGCTTTAAAGTAAATTGCAGACAATTCCGCTACCCCAGGTTCCTCAACCTCAGCACTACTGACACTTCGAGCCAGATACTGCTTTGTTGTGGGGGCTGCCATGTGTATTTTGGCATTTAGCAGCATCCTTGGCCTGTATCCACGAGATGACAGTAGCACACACCTCTACCTCCAGTTGTGACAACCCCAAACGTCTCCAGACACTGCCAACTGTCCCCTGGGGGTAAAATCCCTCCTGCGGATTGAACTAGAGTGACCATATTTATTGTCCAATATGGAACATTTTCTTTTTAAACTTTTTGTGTCAGAAAATTTCCAACAAATATAAAAATAGAGAGACCAGTATAACGAACACCCGTGTATCCACACCAAAGCACAGCAGTTATGAACTCGGCCAATCTTATTACACCTCTACTCCCTCCCACTCCCTGCTGCTGTCCTGCCCCTGGGATTATTTGGAAACAAATCTCAGACAACGTTCACCTGTAAATACTGAAGTATATATCTCTAAAAGATAAGAATTCTTTTTTTTTAACATAACCACTATATGCTTTTATCATATCTTAAAAAATTAAAAATAATTCCTTGATATCATAAAATATCCAGTAAGTAAAACCAGGATACTTTTGAGATTGTAACGGGGAGTAAAAGGGGATAGCAGTATAAATCAGGGCTGTCCAGGAAAACCAGGACTGAGCCATGCGCACAGGAGCATTTGGTTTCCTTAAACAGAACTCTTCTAGTACCTGTGTCTGGAAAGTCACTCCCCAGCTCAAAAACCTCTGAAGGCTCCCCAGTGCTGAAACACACACAGTCCTGACTCAAGCTGACCCCCAAGGCCCCATTGCTTCTGCCTTATCCTCTAATGACTCCTCTTCTGCTGCTGCTGAGGGTACATCTGGTGTAATCTCCCAAGAAGGCCAACCCCCTGCTCCCTGCTGTCCAGAGGCCATGCTGGCACGTGGGGCAGGGGGCCGAGCATGCAGGGAGGCACTGGGGGCTGCCTGGATGTGAGTTCTTTGTTTACTCAAGTTCTAGCTGTCCCCTCCAGGCACCCGAATTTGAATGTTGGCAGAAGTGGGATGTCTGGTGTTTGCTGCGAAGAAGTTCTGGGCTAGAGGTGGCTCAGCCTGCCCTCAATTTTGTTGTTGTTGTTTCTTTCCAACCTCCTTTATTTTGTCAAACATATATCCAGGGCCTACTTTGCTCTTGTGGGGCTAAAATAACTTACTCCCCAATGCGAGGGGCTCCTTTCCACTCTCAGCCATGCCCAGGGGCAGAGCTGGGGCTCGGCTGAGGTGTGTGGAGGGACTTGCTAAGAGTGGAGACACCATCACCCCCACACAGATGGACAGACAGACACAGAGTTCAGCTGCTTCCCTGGAGGGGCTGCTCAGAGCCCAGGGCTCCCAGTAAAGGAGACTTGCACGCTCTGCCTGGGAGAAGTGGAATCTCTTTCTTCTCTGGCAACCTGAGCTGCATGGCCAGGCCTGCTGGGTGAGACCCCATCTCTGCACATCTCCTCAAAGCTCCTGAAGGTTGAGTGTGGCGGCCTCTGGCAGAGCACAGCTCTGAAGAATGAAAGAAAGCCATACTGCTTGAGATGAAACTGGAAAATAACCAGAAAATTCTTCCCGATCCTGCAAGAATGTCTTCATCAGCTGTGTCTCTCCCACATGCTCAGGACAGGCTGGAGACTGGCCCCCGCAGTTCCCGGGCCCCCACCACCAGGATGCCTTCAAGACACCTCTTTCCCTGGTGCTTCCAGAACCCCGTTCCTTGGCTTCTCCTCCCTCTATCTACCTCATTGTCCAGATCCCCACCCAGTGCACTGTAGTGCCTAGTGCCTGGCCCATGCCTCGTGTAGGCCTCATGTTTGTCCTATCCTCTTGGTGGGTACCCTTCTGGGCCCTTGGAGTCCTTTCCTGCTCACACACTTTCATTCATTTATTCACAAAACAAATATTTATTGAACCTACTGTGTGCCCACACAGGACACACATAAGCAACACCAAGAAAACCCCCTGCCTAGTGGGGTGCACATTCAAATAGGCGATGTACCCAGGCCACCACGACGAGTTTTCATAACGGGTTGGGGTCCCTTCCCTCCTCGGAAGCCCTGAGATCCTTATGTAAATGATTCTCTTCTCTTCTTCCCAAGGGACCAGGTTTGCAGACCAAGGGGCCTGAAGAGAGGCTTGCCCTGGTCAGGCCACAGAAGGCTGCATTACCCCCTTATCCTGAGCAGTGGGTATCTCCAGCCCCTATATTTATGTAAGACAGGGATCTGTCAAGGGGCCTTTCTCTGAGGAAAGGAGGCCGAGTTCAAGGTGACTTGCTCTTCCCACTGGATGGGACACCAGTGTGTGTGTGTGTGTGCACGCACGTGCGTGCGTGCGTGTGTGTGTGGCCTTGGGGATTTAGGCATCTAGGAGCAGTCTGGTGAATTTTATGAGGATCTTATGTGGCTTCTAAAAAGATTCTCTGAAGCTTCTTCATGGATTCCTTTAAGATCTCCTAATGATTTTATGTCCATCCATAAGAAGTATACAGGGACTCTATAAAGATTCTAAGATTTTAATGTGTCAAGCGCCGAAGCCTTGAAGTGGGAGGTGGCTGAGCAGGCCTTTCAGCTGCTCCCTGCCTGCCACAAACGACCCCACCTCCCCTTCCCCTATAACTGTATAGCATTTCTTTTCTGCTGGGTTCTTTCTGCTGCCATGCATAGAACCAATTTAATGAGATGAATTTGAAAATAAATAAAAGGAAAACCCCAGAGCAAAGAGCCCACGAGCGATGGAGCGACGGAGCTTGGCTGGGGACATCAAAGGCTCCGAGGCGCATCAAAGATGCCTCGAGCCGAATGCTCCCTCCTGGGGCCATTATTAAGACCAAGGTGAGTGGCTTCCGAAAGGCACACAGAATCACTTCCAGCCCCCAGCCAGCTCCTTCCAGAAAGTTAGGTTTCTTTCTTTTTTTTTTTTTTTGTGAGGAAGATCAGCCCTGAGCTAACATCCGTGCTAATCCTCCTCTTCTTGCTGAGGAAGACCGGTTCTGAGCTAACATCTATTTCCAATCCTCCTCCTTCCCCCCCCCCCCGCCCCCACCAAAGCCCCAGTAGATAGTTGTATGTCATAGTTGCACATCCTTCTAGTTGCTGTATGTGGGACGCAGCCTCAGCATGGCCGGAGAAGTGGTGCGTCGGTGCGCGCCCGGGATCTGAACCTGGGCCGCCAGTAGTCCTGTTGGCTCTTGGAGTGAGGAGAGTGAGGAGGGCCTGGGGGTGGTGGGCTGAGGCTGGGCTGGGTGACGGTGGTCCCTGCCGGATCTGCAGCCTGCCCTTCCACTGTTGGGGGTCTGTGCCTTCACCTGCAGGCTGGGGGCCTCCCCTTTGTGCCCCCAAGACTGGCTGTTTATTCCGTTATCCTTGCATGATCTCTCTGTCTATTTCTGCTCCCTCACAACCAGGAAGCCCTTCAGGGAAGGCACTGAATTTTATTTACTTTGTAACCCTAGAACTTAATACACAGGCTGGCAAGAGTTAGGTGTCCAATAAATGTGTTGAAGGTCTCAGAGCATCTCCCCCAGTAGCCCAGGACCAAGGCAGGGGGTGGCTGTGAGGTGAAGTGGCCCCACCAAAGCTTACTGTGCTTGTGGCAGAAGGACCAGAGTGGGAGCCCTTTCCCCGCTCCCCGTGGGAAGAGGAGACCTAGAGGGGCAGCACTCTCACCTCAGGCCTAGTTTTGAGGTCCCTGTCCTGCTTTGTGCCCCGTATTCCATGACCAAATCCCCTGGAAGTAACCTGCCCAGCACCACTAGTCCTGTAGGATGGGGTCCCAGGGCTGGGCTCCCTGCCAGCTCCCCACTCACTGCCGAGAACTTCACTGCCTGCTTGGTCAGCCTCCCTCATCCCCTGCCCGGCACAGCTTGCGGGTGAGGTTCTCGTCTTCCTGCCTGTCTGGTCCTACAAGCCAGTCTGTTACCAGCTCTGAATGCTCTTTTCCCAGAAGATGGTTTGCTCAGACCCAGAATTCAGAATCCCTGTGTAGAGGCCACGAAAGAAAAGGCTGAGTCGTCCAAGGCTCTTAGACCTTAGAGGAAGCAACCGAGGCTGCCCCATGCCCCACCCCCAGCCTGTGTTTCCTATTAGACCCAGAACTTTACTGCGGGAAGGCCAGCCAGCCAGAGCCCCGGACCTGGCGCTCCAGCCGCCTGCCTGCCCTGGGCCTGGGTGTCTGCCCGAGCAGATGCCATTTAACTTGCTGCAGGAGAAATATCTATAAATGCCAACTATCAACATAAAAGCAGTCTGTCAGAGCCAGGGCCAGGCAGCTGGGTCAGTCCCCACCACGGAGGCCATGACTCTAACATCCACACATCTCTCTTTCTCACACCCCAACCCTCATCACAAGAAGATGTCTTGGCCCTGATATCACGGAGCTACCCTGATGGAAAAACAGGTCAGCCTTGTGCTGTGTGTCATGGCCATGCCTCAATGTCCACTCCCATGCTGGAAGGGCCCTGAAGCCACATGCTCCTGAGATAGGGACTCATCTTCATGGGAATGAGGTGTGGTCCTTAGCTGGTGCAGCAGAAGTGCATGGTGATTGCCAGAAATTGGTGTTCTCTCTGGGGCATCTTAGTCACAAAGGAAGCAAGGGAGCAAGGAAGATGACATTCCCTGGCTGTGGGGCCGAAAACCCTCCCAGGCTCTGGCTCTCCCTGGGCCATGGACTCAAAGGTGGGAAGGAGGAGTGCCTCAGGGGAACAGCTCCCAAGAGGACTCTCCTGGTTCCTCTCCATCCCCTGCTCCTTGCCTATCTGCTGCCTGGAATTGCCCTAGAAGTTTCAGAGAGAAGAAAGGTGTGGGGGTACTTTATAGGCTGGAGAGGGTTTTATCTCAGTCCAAGGCTGGTCACAAGCCCCAATGCTCCTGCCTTCCTCCTTCCTTGGCAGTGCTCGGGGACAAGTGCTCTCCGAGCATATCTCCTCTGCTGGGACGGGTAACTCATGCTCAGACCCGGGAGACCAGGCAACATGAGCTGGGCAGGCTGGTGCTGCTCACTGTGCCCATGTGTCCCCTTATAGTGGGGTGGGTTTTTTCCTTCTTCCCATGCTGCCCACATCCTCCTTTCTGTGGCCTGGCAAACACCTGTATCCCTGGCCCACGCCAATGCTAGGGTAATAAATGGGGCATTGAACTCAAGACCTAGAGAGAGACTCTGAGCGTAATTCCACATTGGCTATATGCTGATTGGTGGCCCCTCGTGACAATGTGAGTGAACCATTTATCTTGGAGATCCATATCTGTGGGATCTGAAGTAAGCCTTCCTCCTCTAGGCACATGTAGAGTGAGAAGAGATGGAGTGGAATAGCTGACAACACAAGCCAGTGGTCGGAGGACAAAGAGCCAGCGACCTGAGTGGCCACGTGAGGAAATAGCAGAGAGAGGCTCCAGCGGGAGGGGTTTGCTCCCTATGACCTGCAAGAGTAGGGTCCTGTGACAGCCACCTAGAACAAGGAGGTGAGTGGAATGAAGTGGAGGTGTCACAGCAAAACCCCTTCCCACTAAGGCCGCTGCACAGGCTGGTAGCCGTTACCCGGAAATAAGGACTGTTTGGGTGTGCTTCAGGGCTCTCTGTATGTGTCCGATGGATAGACCGTAAGGTGTGCAATAATAATGACACGACTAACAGCAGATATGGGGGCTAAACAGGGGTGTGTGTGCATGTCTGTGCCGGTGCACACACACCCACACCCACACCCCAGTGGAATGAGATATGGTGGAGACAGAAGCTCCGAGCAGGGTGGGCAGTTACCATTATGCACTCACTGTGTCTGCACGGAGCCACAGAGGAAGAAGAGGTTCCCTCTGCCATAGAGGGGCTTCAGCCTGTCCAGGAAGGACACACCTCCCACAGCCCCACCCACACACCAGACACAGAGAGGATCAGCAGTGATGAGCAAGCACTAGACTGTGGCTGTGTCACCCCGGTCTGTGGTGTGAGTAATGGGGCTAAACAGTGCCATGGGACAAACAGAAGACACTCTGGGCTCATGAATCTCTTTCTTCTTGGCTTGGTGTGAATCACAGCCACCATTTCCCAGACCTGAGCATCCATAGATTTTTGAAGCCTTTCTCCCCAGAGATTGTGATGTTCTCCTGCTGTCTGGAGTGAATCCCATTTAAACCCAGCTCTCCCGAAATGTAACTAGCAGGCAGCGCCAGCCCCCAGGAGACCTGGAGCGTCTAAGTGGGGTCTGCTGTAAAGTACAGGGGCGCTGCAGGAGGGCGTGGATCAAGACTCCAGGCCTATATAGTTAGGACAACGTTGTCCTGCCTGGCGCTGCTGGGTATAGTCCTGGGAATGACCAATGAGCTAGCCTGTCATCTCAGAGACGTGGATCATTGCTTAAAATTCTTGGTTTGAAGATCCCCCCCACTCCAAAAAATTACTGAGTCAGCAAATGAAGTGATGAGGCATCCTTTGCTGTGGTTGACACTGTGTGTGTGTGTGTGTGTGTGTGTGTGTGTGTAGGGATCCTGCTCAGCATGGCCAGAGATGGTGTTGAAAGGAAAAGTGTCACATCCAGAGTCCCCTGTGCCTCAGGAGCACATGGGTCCTGCTTGTGCCCTTCTATGGACAGAAGAGCTTCCCTGGCCTGGCTCATGGCAGACAGGGAGAGGGGAGGAGGGGAGGAGGGGAGGAGGGGAGGGAGGGCAGGTCCAGCCCCAACACTCATAAAACCTCATCATCTGAGTGTTTATGGGCCCAGGTCCCTGCAGTAAGCCTTTAAAGTCACATAGGAGACTCCTGTATGTTCATAAGATCCTTTCTGTCTGTAACATGCTACCCCAGCAACACTCTCTCCCAGGCCACTGTGGTTCCCTCCCATGTCACGGCCACTGGGAGATGGGGAGGCAGGGGGCTGGAGAGTCCAGGGGGCTGCCCCAGGGTTGGGGGCACAGTGGAGATTGCTCCCAAGCACAATTTCTCCAGCCTCCCAGGGAGCTTCCACCTTCCCTGATTAGCTTCTGCACAACTCCCTGGTGGAGGGCTGGCAGCCCTGGCGACATCCCAGTGTCCCCAAGCTCTGTCCTGGCTCTTCTTCATTCCAGGGGAAGGATGGGAAGTAGGGTTGGCAGATAAAACACAGGTTGCTCAGTTAAATCTAAATTTCAGTTAAACAATGAGTAATTTTCTTAGTACAAGTATGTCCCAAATATTGCATGGGACAAAAAGTTATCCACTGTTTATCTGAAATTCAAACTTCCCTGGGCATCCTGTGATTTTATTGGTTGAATCTGGCAAGCTTAACTTAAAGGGAACCACAATTATTGTCGCAAGCCATGGAGAGAACCCTTTCTGTGTTCCAGGCACTGGGCTGGGCCTTTGAATGTGTTATTTCATTTAAACCTCACCGTTACCCTGCATCATAAACTTGGGTGATTTACTTATTATCTTTATGACGTTTGCCATATCTTTTGCATACCACCTATACTATATTTTTATTTAATTCTTTTCTTTACATCCATTTCCTTTTAGAAAAAAAACCTTAAATCCACTTATTCTTAAAGGAAATCTTATATTCAATATCACTTGTCAAAAATAGCTGCAAAATTAAAAATAATGTTATCATTGTACTGCCTGTTGGAGGCTAAGGTATTCCGAGGTATTTTAACTGCTGTTTGAGAGGTTCCAAACGCTCACTGTGGCTGACACCGTTGTCTACAGTCGTCTTACACCTTCTTCCTTTCTGGAAGAGCCCTCCCTCTCCTAGAGAGTCTAGAAATGCTATGCTCCCTTTCCCAGCCTCCCTTCAGCCAGGGCATGGGACTACGGCCCAACCGTGGCCACTGAGATCTGAGTGAAGTCCACTGGAAGCTTCTAGGAAAGATTTACTTCCCTGTTTAAAAAATAAACCCTGGAAGCAACATAAATGCCCATCGAAGGATGAATGGGTAAAGAATATGTGGTATATACATACAATGGAACACTAATCAGCCTTTAAAAAGAAGGAAATCCTGTGAACCTTAAGGACATTATGCTAAGTGAAATAAGCCAGTCACAAAAAGACAAATACTGCATGATTCCACTTATATTTACATGAAGTATCTAAAGCAAACTCTTAGAAACAGAAAGTAGAGTGGTAGTTGCCAGGGGCTGGGAAGGGGGAAACGGGGAGTTGTTCATTGGGATGGTGTTTCAGTTTTGCAAAAACAAAGTTCTAGAGATTTGTTGCACAACAATGTGCGCAGTTACTATTGCACTGTACACCTAAAAATGGTTAAGATGGTAAATTTTACATTATGTGTTTTTTACCACAATGAAAAAAAGTTTTGGAATTAGTGGTGATGCTTCCACAATATTGTGAACCACTGAATGGTTCACTTTAGAATGATTATTTTATGTGAATTTCACTTCCATAAAATTTTGTATGTGTGTGTCTTAAAATAAACAAACAAACAAATCCTGATTTAAGCTACTCTTAATATCTTTAATAAGGTCATAGATGTATACGAATCCTGGTGCAGGGGCAGCCATTTTGTAGCTATTAGGGAATACGCCTAAGGATCAAGCCAACAAGAAGAAGATGACTAGGAAAGGTGGAGAGAACCTGGGTCTTTGATGACTTCATGGAGCTGTTGAACTTCCCTGAAACTGCCTTCCCCTGAAAGGTTGTGTGACGTAATACATTTTCCTCATTGTTTTATTCACTTTTAATTTGAGTGTTCTGTTATTGCACTAAAAGCATCCCAACTTATGGAGGTCCCAGAGACTATCTCCTTATATAATCAAAAGAAACTGAGGAAAAAAAGGAAAAAGGAATACATTTCTCACCATGTGATTCATCATTATTTAACAGTATGTGAACACACTACATAAAATAATCTATTACACCACCCAAAATTTCCAGTGATAAGCAGTCTACAATTTGGGAACATTTGTAGAATTATCATCCCTATTTTTCAGATGCAAAAATAGCTATGATCACAAAGCTAAGAAGCTGGATAACCTTCTTCATTTACTGATGAAACCCTGAATTTGCATGGTGCAGCTGACATGAGTATTTCAGGTGAGGATGAGCAGGTGGGATTCCATCCCCAAGACTTCCTTCTCTCTGAGGGCTTCTCTCTTTCTTCTTCCCACTGACACCTCTGCAGTGGCCCGGAGATACTGATCCTGTAACCCCTCTGATACTCCTTCCCCTGGCCTCCTGACGCGGCCGAAATAGGCTGAGACTCTTACCAACACCATGATGAATCCTGAGTCAGTCAAACAGGGAAACAGAGAAGCCAAGGGTCATGCACGCAATTAAGCTCCCACAGCCCGCTTCTGATCCACTGAAGTGGACCCACAGCATTCTTCTCCCCAGGCTCCCAGACCATCCCACCCCATGCCCCACCTCGTATGGTGGCTACTTCACAAGCCGCTGGCCAGGTGCCTCAATTCCTGCTGCCTGGCCTGCCTCCCCATGGAGCGTGTCATCCTGCCTCCTGGTACTTGAGGCTTGGTCTTCTTCATTCCCGGACCCCTTTGCTGCCCAAGCCAGGAATTTGGTTCTGACTCTGCCCATCAGGCTCCTCTATATTCACCTCTCACCTTGTCCTCAGGGAACAGTCAGCAGCCTGGCCCCCATTACCAGTCCCGTGGTGTAATTACCCTTTAACCAGTTAATGATCATGGCATCCACTTACCAGATTGGACCCTTGGACCCACGTACAGCAGGCCTTGGTCAAAGAGTCAGGTAGAAGGGCAGGCCTGGCCTGTGAGAGACAAGCCAATAGGGAACACGAAGAGGCGTGGGTGACGGTGGTGGGGTGCTGTAGTTAAGTCTTCTTGGAGCCTCACCGAGAGGGAGGCCATGTTAAACAAAGCCATGAGCTGTCTGCTGGGTCCCCACTCAGCAAGTGTAAAGGAGACCCCTGCAGCTGTCTGTTCCCCACCTCTACTCCAGAGCCTTCGGTCCGTGCCTGGCAGCGGGGTGGGGGGTGGTACACACCTGCATGTGGCCCCAGGCTTCCCTCTCTGAGGTCCAGTCTCTGCTCCCATGGAAAGGTTCCCTTGAGTGTCCTGGGGGAACGTCCATGTGAAAAGACTTTGTTCCTATATCACAGTGACTGATTTGAAAATACATGTGAAAAAAGATCCCCTTCACAACACAACTAATAACCACAAAATATTTAGGACCAGTCCTAAAAAGAAGTGTGAAATACTTATGTGAAGAAAACCATAAAACTTAATAAGAGACATGAAAGAAAACCCAAATAAAGAGGGGTATATACTATATTGGGAAATCTCAATATTATGAAGACATCCATTGTAGAAATTATCTATAAATTCAGTGCAATCTCAATAACCATCTCACTGGAGTTTCTAATTAAAATCGACAGTCTTATTATTATTATTCACATGGAAGAAAAAAATGCATAAGAAAAGACTATTTTGAAAAAGAGGAACAGTGAAGGGAAACTTGCCTTGCCAGATATCAAAACATATTATGAAGTTATAGAATTAAAAACAATATAGGAATAAGTAGACAAGTAGACTGTTAGAATAGAGCAGTGAGTGCAGAAACAGACCCTTGAATATATAGGAATTTAGTGTATGATATAGTTGGTATTTCAAGAATGAAAAAACATTCAATTAAAAATGTTAGAAGAGGGCTGGCCTGGTGGTGTAGTGGCTGAGTTCACACACTCTGCTTTGGTAGCCCAGGGTTCTCGGGTTCAGATCCCGGGCACAGACCTAGGCACTGCTTACTGGGCCATGCTGTGGCAGTGTCCCACATAAAGTGGAGGAGGATGGGCACAGACATTAGCCCAGCGCCAATCTTCCTCAGCAGAAAAGAGGAGTATTGGCAACAGATGTTAGTTCAGGGCTAGTCTTCTTCACCAAAAAAAAAAAAAAAAAGGAAAGAAAGACTGCAGAAAATGAAGATCAAGTTTGAGACTTACTTTGCACCATTTATAATAAAAAACTCCATATTACTTAAAGAGCAAATTTTTTTAAAACTACAAAAGAATTAGAAAAAATATAGGAGATTATTTTTACGGTTTTGTGATAGAGAAAGTTTGTGAAATAAGATTTTTTGTAGATGTAGACAAATTATTCTAAAATTTATATGGAAACATGACGGAACCAGAATAGTTAAAACAATTTTGTGAAATAAACATTACATGAGAATTAGTCTACCCAGTCTCCCAGAGATCGCACAGCTATAGTAATTAAGGCTGTGTGATGTTGGTGGAGGGATAGATACATAGATCAACGGGACAGAACAGAGAGCCCAGAAATAGACCCACATAATATGCCAACTGATTTTTCACAAAGGTGCAGAAGCAACCCAATGGAGTGAGGATAGTCTTTGAAGCAAATGGTGCTGGAACAATTGGACATCCGTAGGCAAGAACTTCAGCCTAGACCACACACTTTATACAAAAATTAACTCAAAATGGATCACAAACCTAAATGTGAAATGGAAAACTTTGAGGAAAAAAATAGGAGAAGAGTCTTTGGGCTCTGGGGCTAAGCAGAGTTCTCCGCTTTGACACCTAAAGCACTATCCATAAAAGGAAAAACTGATAAATTGGACTTCATCAAAATTAAGAACTTTTGCTTTGTGAAAGACCTAGTGAAGAGGATGAAAAGCTAGAGACTGGGAGAAAACATTTGTAAAACACTTATCTCACCAAAATCTAGAGTTTAGCATATATAAAGACCTCTCAAAACTGAACAGTAAAAAAACCAAACAATTAAATTAGAAAATGGACAAAAAACATGAATAGACATTTCACTGAAGAGAATATACTCCTGGTCAAAAAGCACATGAAAAGATATTCAACATCCTTAGCCATTAGGAAAATGTCAACTAAAACCACTTGAAATATCACTACATATCTATCAAAACAGCTAAAATGAAAAATAGTGACAACATCGAATGCTGACCAGGACGTGAAGAAACTGGATCACTTACACTTTGCAGGAGGCAATGCAAAATGCAAGAGCCATTGGAAAGTAGTTTGGCGGTCTCTTGAAAAACGAAACATCCAACTATCATTCGACCTAACAATTGCACTTTTGAACAATCTGTACACAAATGCTCATAACAACTTTGTTCATTATAGCCCCAAACTGGAAATAATCCAGACACTCTTTGACAGATGATACCTCTCAGCAATAAAAAGGAACAAACTAATGATACACAAAACAACTCAAATGAATCTCCAGGGAATTATGCTGAGTTAAGAAAGTCAATCCCCAAAGGTTACATACTAGATGATTCCATTTCTAGAACATTCTTGAAATGTCAAGATTATAGAAATGGAGAACAGATTAGTGGTTGCCAGAGTTAAGGGTAGGGTAGCAGTGAGGTGGGGACCAGGGGAAAGAGAAGTGGACGTGGCTATAAAGGCGCAACATGGGGGCTCTCCGTGGTGAGAGAATTGTTCTGTCTCTTGACCTCCGTGTCAATGTCCTGGTTGTCGTGTTGTACTATAGTTTTGCAAGATGTTACCGTTGGGGGAAAGTGGGTAAAGCGTACGCGAGATCTTTCTGTACTATTTCTTTCAACTGCATGTGAGTCTACAGTTATCTCAAAATGAAAAGTTTAATTAAAATAACTATAAAAAATTAGAAGAAAATATATTTGTATGGATTTGTGACAGGGAACGCTTGTGAAATAAGACACTCAACACAAAAACCATTAAGGAAGTTATCAATAAATTCAACCACCTCAAAAGATGTTATAAACAAAACTGAAAACTAGTAACCAACTAAGGAAAATATTTGCAACAGTTATGATATACACATAATTAATATTCAAAATATATGCGTCTGTTAGAAATCAATATGAAAAAGTAAGCAATACACAAGGAAACAGCAAAGGATATGAAAGGACAGTTCACAAAACGAGAAATTCAAATGGTCAAGAAATCTATGAAAAAGTATAATATCTCCAATAATAAAGGAAACGTAAATTAAAATGATGAGAGACCACTTTTTACTCTATCAGACAGGAAAAATAGCAAGTTTGATGGATGGAGGGCTGGTAAAGATGTGGGGTATTCTCATATTCTGTTGGTGAGAATATAAATTGGTAGAATCACTTTGGGGGGCAATTGAAAGAATCTAGGAAACTTTAAAATGCACTTACCTTATGACCTAGTAAATCTGCTTCTTGGTATGTCCCTGGAGAAACAGTCTTGTGCTGTGTGCCCAAGGCAGCAGGTAAAGGGTCTTTGCTGCAGCTTCCCTTATCACAGTGAAGAATTGGAAAGACCTAGTTCCCTGTCACCAGGGGAATGGTTACATTAACTCCAAGGCCTCAATTCTACAGAATACTGTGAGTACAGCACATTGGCAGTAGTGAAAACAGGTTGCCAAATAATACATAGAGAACGAGGGATACCATTCATGTAAACACACACACACGACTCCTGGAGGTAACTGTCATTTTAAATTCATGACCACAGACCTCAAATGATCATGTAACAGCACCTGGTAATCCTAAAATGTTTCCCTAGTAAGTTTATTTTCTCTTTCTAAAATGATTATTTTGTATCTTCTCTCTCTTCACAACTTCCACAACCCCTCCCCATGTCACATCCAGCTGATGACTTTGCTTAACACTTCAACCAAAAAAAAAAAAAAAATAGAATTACCTGGGGCCAGCCTGTGGCGTAGTGGTTAAGGTTCAGCACGCTCCGCTTTGGCGGCCCAGGTTCTTGGGTTCAGATCCCGGGCATGGACCTATACCACTCATCAGCCATGCTGTGGTGATGACCCACATACAAAATAGAGGAAGATTGGCATGGATGTTAGTTCAGGGCTAATCTTCCTCAAGCAAAAAAAAAAGAGGAAGACTGGCAACAGATGTTAGCTCAGGGCCGGTCTTCCTCAGAAAAAAAAAAAAAGAAAGAGAAAAAATAGAATTATCATATGATCCTGCAATCCTACTTCTGAGTATAGACCCAAAGGAATTGAAAGTAGGATCTTGAAGGGATATTTACATACCCATGTTCACAGCAGCATCATTCACAATAGCCTGAAGATGGAAACAACCCAAACGTTCACCAACAGATAAATGGCTAAACAAAATGTGGTATATCCATATAATGAAATATTATTCAGCCTTAAAAAGGAATGAAATTCTGATACATGCTACAGCGTGGATGAATGTTGAAAACATTAT